CCTGTCGCCCGCAGTCGCGCACCGTCACCTGCCCCATGTCGGGGAAGCCGCTGCGCATGGCGGACCTGACGCCCGTGCGCTTCACGCCGCTCGACGACTCGGTGGACCGCGTGGGGCTCATCACGCGCAGCGAGCGCTACGTGTGCGCCGTGACCCGCGACAGCCTCAGCAACGCCACGCCGTGCGCCGTGCTGCGGCCCTCGTGAGTCAGCGAGTCAGCGGGCGGGAGGGCTCCGCGGGCTGCGGGCCGGGACGTGGCTCACAGTCCGGGTCCCCCCACCCATCCGCAGCGGGGCCGTGGTCACCCTGGAGTGCGTGGAGAAGCTGATTCGCAAGGACATGGTGGACCCGGTCACTGGGGACAAGCTCACGGAGCGCGACATCATCGTGCTGCAGCGGGTGAGCCTCGTGGCGCATCCCGCCCCGCTACGGTCTTAGTCCCGCCCTTCCGCCCTCCCACCGCGGCTGGCCGGGGTGATCACCAGGCCCCGCCCCTTCGTCCCGGCCACGCCCTGGTGTCTCCGCCCACTTGGGCTCGGGCCGCCCTCCACCTCCAGGCCCCGCCCCTTCGCCCAGGCCGCACCCTGCCCAGACCAGTTTAAGATGCCCAAGGCCAGCTAGGCCTCCTGAGCCGGATCTGTCCCCTCTCCAGGGTGGCACCGGCTTCGCGGGCTCCGGGGTGAAGCTGCAGGCGGAGAAGTCCCGGCCAGTGATGCAGGCCTGAGGTGGCGCGGAGGTCAAATAAACCTCTGCTGGCGGGCACTGGATGCATGTCGCCTTCATTTCCTGGCTGAGGAGCAGGCGGCGCTGGATGCCTGCCCTCGAGTTTAAAGGAGCGGCTCAGAATATCGCGGCTCACATTCGGAGCAAACTCAGAACTGAACGCATACACCAGTGAGACCAGTCAGCATGAGCTGCGTGTGGCGGTGTACCTGGAATCCCAGCACTCTGGGAGGCTGAGGCAGGAGCATCGCAAATTCCAACCCAGCCTGGGTAGTTTAGCCACTTCGAACCCTGCCTCAAAATAAAAAGGGCTGGATGTGGCTCGGTGCAAAGGGCCTGGGTTCACGCCCCCGTGCTGCCTTGCCCCCCAGAACTTTGTCAGGATGGCAGAAGTCAAGGGGAGCTGTGATGGCAGGAGGCGCTGTGTCAGAATCTAAACGCATATTAGGGTGTCCTGAGGCAGGGTCCCCCACTTGTGCCAGGTTGGAAGCGTGTGTGTGGTCACAGGAAGCTGTGAGAAGACACACAGGAAACAATTCTATGAAGGAGCAAAGGCGCAGTACAGAAAGTGTGGTCAGGACCCGCCCTGGTTGCAGCACAGAGAAGAACCGGCAGTTGCAAAGTCCCGGGGGCAGCGAGGCCCTGCAGACCCGAGGGAGGGAGGTGCAGCGCACCCACGAGGAGCCCTGCACCCCTCGAAGCACTGTGGCCTGGGCCGGCTTGGCCTTTTGAGCAGGGTCTCACTCCGCAGATCAGGTTCTTTTTAGCTGCATTGTACTCGTTGACCACAGACTTGCAATTCTCCTGCCTCAGCCTCTTGAGTTGGGAGATCACAAGTGTGCACCTGGTTTAAGCTTTGTAGCTATGTTTTGCTTGTACCGGGGGTTAGCCACAGGGCGGGGTCCATCCCCAGCCCTTTCGTTTTTTCATGTGAAACGCGGTTTCCCAGAGTTGCCCAGACTGGGCTCAAACTTGAAATTCTACCTCAGCCTCCTGCACCTGACATCAAAGCTTGTATTCTGCTTTACTGGGGATGGAGCCCAGTGTCTTGGTACTGAGCTGCTTCCCCAGCCTATTTATTTTCTTTTTGTTTGTTTGTTTGTATTTTGTTTTTTGGGGTTTTTTTTAAAGTACCGGGAATCTAACTCATGACCTTGCGCTTGCCAGGCAGGCGCTGTGCTGCTGAGCTAAATCCCCAGCCCCTATTTTCATTTTTTATGTTGAGACGGGGGCCTACCAAGTTGCCCAGGCAGGGCTCAAACTTGCAATCTTCCTGCCTCAGCCTCCAGAATGGCTGGATGACATGCACTGCCATGCCTGACGTCAAGCTGATTTGTAGGTAGCCAGGTGTTCACTGAGCAGCCCCTGGCACGTGGGGAAAGCCGGAACTCACGGTCTCTCAGAAAGATACAGAGACACACCACGCCCCCGCCCCCGACCCAGCCGGGTGTCCTGGGTTAGAGCTCTGCAGCGGGCACGTGCTTCTGAGGAGTGGACTCCGCCCATGAGGCCACCTCGCCTCTGTAGCCTTGTCTTCCAGCCCACGACCTCTGTCACTCAGGCAGTGAGCCACTGCTGGGAGAGGTGTGGCAGGAGGGCAGGTGTGGGTCCCCCAGCACCCTGGTGGTCGCAGCCTGGGGCGTGCCCCACAGACACCTCCAGAAGCTTGCGAAGACCCTGAAAGCCCTCAAACTTCACCCCCCACAGGGCCCAGCCCATGACACCAGGCTCAGTTGTCGCTGATGTTCAGGAACCCAGCCTCACCAGCACTTGGGAGGCTGAAGCAGGAGGATCGTTGTGTGAGGCCAGCTTGGGTTATATAGCAAGACCCTGGGAGGGGCCAGGAGAGAGGTGAGACCCAGGTACATGTGAGGCAGCCGCCCTGCTAGAGCGCAAGTCATGACGCCAAGATTACAAGTGTAAAGGTTAGCTGCCAGGTGTGGTGCACACCTGTCATCCCAGCACGTGGGAGGCTGAGGCAGGAGGATTGGTGTGAGTTCAAGGTCAGATACATAGCAAGACGTCTCAAAAACCAAAGAAAAAAGTGTAAAAGCTTTTAGAGCAGAAAGTTACTCTGGAAGGGCAAAACTGCAGAACCAGGGCCATCCTGGCCAGGAAAGAGGAAGAGAGTCACGTCCTGAAAGTGGGAAGGAAGACAATTTGGAGCCAGGCATGGTGGTACACATGGGGAAGCTGAGGCAGGAAGATCATTGTGAGTTCGAGGCCAGCTGGACTACATAGAAAAACCTTGTCTCTGTCACACACATACACCAGCATGCATGAAAAAACCTTATACATAAATGAACCTAGCAGCACTGTTCCCGTAACCAAAAAGTGGAAATGCCCCAGATGCTTGTACAAGTGGATCGATGAAGAAGCTATGGTCTGTCCATCCTGGGGTATATTACCCAGCCATGAAAAGTAGCACAACACTGAGGCACGCTGGAATGTGAATGGACTGAGTTAAAGAAGCCAGACAGAAACCCACGTGCTGTATGATCTCCAGAGCTATCCAGACTGGGCCGAATCCGAGGGACAGGAAGTAGACATGTGACTGCCAGGAACTGGGGAGGGAGGATGAGGGTGGCTGTGTAAAAGATCCCGCTTTGTACTAGGGGTGGTGAAAGCGGCCCATTAGTGGTAATGGTTACATTACCTTTATCTTTTTAATTTTAAATTTTTTTTGTCTTTTTTCATGCTTTTCATACAAGGTCTCACTGTGCAGTTCAGGCTGACCTCAAGCTCACTTTGTAGCCCAGGCTGGCCTCGAACTTGAAAGAATCCTCCTGCCTCAGCCTCCCGAGTGTGGGGATTACGGGCGTGTACCACCACACCTGGTGGTTACATTACCCTTAAAAAACACTGAGGGACCGGGATGTAGTTCTGTGGCACAGCGCCTGCCTGGCAAACACAAGTCTTGAGTTCAATTCCTGGTACCAAGAAAAAAAAAAAAAAACTGAGCTGGGCATGGTGGTGCATGCCTGTAATCCCAGCACTCAGGAGGCTGAGGCAGGAGGATCGTTGTGAGTTTGAGGCCAGCCTGGGCTACAAAGTAAGCTCAAGGCCAGTCTGACCTGTATAGTGAGACCCTGTCTCAAAAACACCAAAACAAAGAAAAAACACTGAGAAGCCAGGGTTTGGTGGTACATGCCTGTAATCCCAGCACTGGGGAGGCTGAGGCAGGAGGATCACCATGAATTCAAGGCTGGCCTACACTAGATAGCAAGACCCTGTCTCAAAAAAAATTTTTTTTTAATTAAACCAGTGTGATGGCACACCTGTGTTCTCTGCACTCAGGAGGCTGAGGCAGGAGAATCACAGCAAGTTCAAGGCCAGTGTGCGCTACCTAGTGAGACCCTGTGTTAAAAAAAAGATCTTGCCGTGGCTCAATAGAGAGTCCTCTGGGTTCAATTCTCCGCCCTGCAGAGAAAAGGAAATAAAGCCCGCTACAGTGTACTTGTGTGCATTTTATGTGATTCCTAGCTCAGCTTTTTACAAAGTCAGTGTCCTCATAGCCTGCAGCCTGAAGGTCCCAGCCTGTGGATGGGGAAGTTGCCCGGAAAACTAAAAACGGAAGGACCATTCACAGTTTCCTCCGAAAAAGGGTCGCTGAGGAGCTGACACTTCCTACACGCTGAGTGGCATTTGGAGCAGGACGTAGCTTGGCCATGACTTGTGGAAACATCTTCCCGACAGGCCTGCTCTGACCAAAACCTCTCCCTGCAGACCTACCCACATCCATGCTCAACAAACTAGCCAGAAGGCTGAGGCAGGAGGATCAGAAGTGGGGGTTTTTCGGTCCTTTTTTTGTGTTTTTGAGGCAGGGCCTTGCTGTGTAGCCCAGGCTGGCCTCAAACTTGCAGTGACCCTCCTGCCTCAGCTTCCCAAATGCTAGGGTCACAGGCACGTGCCACCACCCCTGGCAAAGATCCCAAATTTGAGCTCAGCCTGTGCAACTTAGTGAAACCATATCTCAAAAAATGTTAAAAACAAAAACAAAAAAAGGGTGTGGTGGCGCACTCCTGTAATCCCAGCACTCGGGAGGCTGAGGCAGGAGGATCATTGCATGTTCGAGACCAGCCTGGGCTACAAAGTGAGCTTGAGGTCATCCTGAACTGCATAGCAAGACCCAGTCTCAAAAAGACAAAGATGGACTGGGCACAGTGGTGCACACCTGTGATTCCAGCACTCAGGAGGCTGAGGCGAGAGGATCGCCATGAGTTTCCGGCCACCCTGGGCTACATAGTGAGCTCAAAGCCAGGCTGGTCTACAGGGCAAGACCTTGGCTCAAACAACAAAGAATCTGGGGATATAGCCAGTGCAAAAACCCTGGCTTCCATCCCACCATTGGAAAACAATGACAACACAAAATAAAACCAGAAAGTTCATAGCAAATTCCTTTACAACATTCCCAAACTAGATGCAACTCAGAAGCTTATTAGCCATAGAATGGATGAGTTGTGCGTCGTTCACTGTAGCAAACATGGAGCGATCCTCCTGCCTCAGCCTCCCAAGTGTTGGGATTACAGGTGTGCACCATTATATCCAGCAGTGCCCCCTCCTTTTTTGAGACAGGGTTTTGATACATAGTCCAGGCTGGCCTTGAACTCATGGTAATCCTGCCTCAGCCTCCTTAGTACTGAAGCCCTCAGATTTAAAATTGAAAATCTAAGGTTCTGACTCAAAAAAATGTGTAATGCTGAGAAACGAGACAGCAAAAACAGTATTAGTCATCTCTAGTTGCTGCTCAAAAGAAGAAAAATAGCCACCTGCAAAGCCTCAGGGTCTCAGAAAGCTGAGGCAGGAGGATCATAAATTCCAGGAAAGCCTGGGTGACTGAACAAGACCCTGTCTTTTGTTTGTTTGTTGCCTTTTTGAGAAAGGGTTTCACTATGCCGCTCAGGCTGGCGTTGAACTCACTTTGTAGCCCAGGCGGGCCTCAAACTCACAGCTATCCTCCTGCCTCAGCCTCCTGAGTACTGGGATTACAGGCATGCGCCACCATGCCTGGCTCAAGACATTGTCTTGAAATAAAAATTTAAAAAGGCCGAGCATGAAGGCACACAAATGTAATCTCAGCACATAGGAGGCTGAGGCGGGAGGATGCTATGGTTTAAGGCTGCATGGACTACATAGTGAGTTCAAGGCCAGAGTGAACTACACAGCAAGGCCCCGTATAAAAAAAGAAAAAATTAAGGCAGGCGTGGTGGTGCACGACCTGTAATCCCAGCACTCTCGAGGCTGAGGCAGGAGAATTGCCATGAGTTTGAGGCCAGCCTGGACTACACGGTGAGACTCTCAAAAACCAATTCTTTTAATTAAAAAAAAAAATTAAGTTCTGAGGAAGAGCGCTTGACTAGCATGTGCAAGGCCCTGAATTCCATCCCCGGCATGGCAAAAACAGACAAACCGGAGATTTAGGAACGTGCCCCTCCGCCACGTCCAGCAGAGCCCACCCGCAGCCAGTAGGGGGCAGAACGTTGCCATCGTTAGGAGCCCGGAGTGGGCTTGGATTCAGATGCAGTCTTCCCAGCCTTGGCCATGGTGAACTCTGGATAAAATAGAAACAGCTGCCCCAAGGCCCTGGAAAGTGCATGGAAGCAGGCGGAAACTGGAGGGAACTGGAGAACCAGAAAACGCAAAGGCCCCGGGTGAGTTTCCGTTCGTGCCGCATAATCCTGGGCGGGCTCCAGTCCACACCAGAGTTGGCGCCAGAAATTCTCCCAGCTTGAAGGACGACACGGCAAAAAAAGTGAGATTTTGGAAAAGAGCGAAGCGGGCGCCCCAGATTTGTAAGCTTGCTCAGATATCTAATTTCTTGATTAATTGAAAAGAAAGGTTTGTGCTAGTATTGTGTGGACAATTAAATGCCTATATCTTATACTCTGAGTAACTAATTTAAAGGTAACAATACGCAATGTATTAGCCATTGTTACTCTCCTATTATCCAGTTTTGAAATTTTGTTTTACTTTTTTGTTCTCAAAAAAAAAAAGATGTCGCGGGGCGTGGTGGCGCACGCCTGTAATCCCAGCACCCGGGAGGCTGAGGCAGGAGGATCGTTGCAAGTTCGAGGCCAGCCTGGGCTACAAAGTGAGCTCAAGGCCAGCCTGAACTGCATAGCAAGACCCTCACACCTGTAATCCCAGCACTCAGGAGGCTGAGGCAGGAGGATCGTTGCAAGTTCGAGGCCAGCCTGGGCTACAAAGTGAGCTCAAGGCCAGCCTGAACTGCATAGCAAGACCCTGTCTCAAAAAGAAAAAAAAAAAAAAAAAAAGGTCTACCTGGCCCTAAACCACACTAAAGTGGGTGTGGTAGTGCGTGCCTGTGATCACAGCAGGCTGAAGCAGGAGGATTTAAAATTCAAACCAAACCTGGGCAATTTAGATTTAAGGAGACCTGGGCTGGGGATATAGCTCAGTGGCATAAACACCTGCCTGTCAAGCGCAAGGTCCTGAGCTTGATCCTGGTACAGCAAAAAAAAAAAAAAAAGATTTAAGGAGACCCTGTCTCAATAGGAGTGGGGAATTGGAGGTGTAGTTCATGCAAAAACCCTGCCCAGTACTGGAAAAAAAAGAAAAAGGGGAAAAAAGAAATGCAGCTAAGCCTTAAAAAAGTGAACTGAAATTTAGCCACAAATTTCTCACAGGAAAGCGGGCTAGGGACTTAGCTCAATGGCACAGCACCTGCCTGGTAAGCACAAGGTCATGAGTTGGATTCCCGGTTCCAGAAAAAAAACCAAAACCAAAAAAACAAAACAAAACAAAACAAAAAAACCAAACCTCTCACAGGAGAAATAAAAGTGATTTTCCTTTTTGTTTTGTTTTTGACACTGGGTCTGGCTATGTATCCTACCCAAACCGGCCTTGAACTCAGCGTGTAGCCCAGGCTGGCCTCAAACCTGCATCGATCCTCCTGCCTCAGCCTCCCAAATGCTAGGATTACAGGCGTCCACCACCACGTTTGGCAAGACATAAAATTTAGAGGTTGCAATTTTAGTTCAATTAAATTAACGGCTTGCTTAGAAAAAAATCAGTACTCAGCTGGATGTGGTGGCATATGAAGCCTGTAATCCCTGTATTGGGGAGGTTGAGGCAAGAGGATTACAAATTGTAGGCTGGGCTACCTAGCAAGTCTGAACCCAGCCTGAACCATACAGTGAGATGCTGTCTCAACACAAATAAGCAACTCTCAGCACTCTTTGGAGGAACATAACTGACTCCAGGATTTCTTTGGGGTACCCCAGATACAATCTAAATTAATTTGCTGGGAGCCGGGCGTGGTGGTGCACACCTGTAATCCCAGCACTTGGGAGGCTGAGGTAGGAGGATCGTCACGAGTTCAAGACCAGCATGGGCTACAATGTGAGCTCAAGGCCAGCCTGAACTGCATAGTGAGACCCTGTCTCAAAAAGACTAAATAAATAAATAAATTTATCTGCTGGAAGATGTGGGAGACACCTGTAGTCCCAGCTACTCCAAACACTTGAGGCAAGAGGATTACTCGAGCCCAGTTGTTCTACACCAGCCTGTGGCTAAATTTTAATTATTTATTTTTTTTATTTTAGACGCTACCTCTAAAAAATAAACAAGCAGGTGAGGCACATGCCAGTGGTCCTAGCACTGTAGGAAGCTGAGGCAGGAGGATCAAAAATCAGTCCCAACTCCTGCAACTTAGCAAGAATGTCTCAAAATTAAAAAATAGAGTCAGGGCCGGGCGTGGTGGCGCACACCTGTAATCCCAGCACTTGGGAGGCTGAGGCAGGAGGATCGTTGCGAGTTCAAGACCAGCCTGGGCTACAAAGTGAACTCAAGGCCAGCCTGAACTGCACAGTGAGACCCTGTCTCAAAAAAAAAAAAAAATAGAGTCAGGCATGGTGGCACATGCCTGTAATCCCAGCACTTTGGAGGCTGAGGCAGGAGGATCGTTGGGAGTTCAAGACCAGCCTGGGATACAAAGTGAGCTCAAGGCCACCTGAACTGCACAGTGAGACCCTGTCTCAAAAAGAGAAAGAAGAAGAAAGAGAAAAGAAAAGAAAAGAAAAGAAGAAAGAAAAGAAAAGAAAAGAAAAAAGAAAAGAAAGGGAAAGGAGAGGGGAGGCGAGGGCAGGGGAGGGGAGGGGGAGGAGAGGGGAGGGAAGGAAAGGAAGGGCTGCGGATGCAGCTCAGAGCAAGACCCTGAGTCCAACCCCGCAGTAGTGCACACACAGGCGCACACGCTTCACCCTGGGAACTACACTGCTGAGGCGGCCGCAGCCTGCGCTCTGAGGACGTGTGCTGTGGCCAGGCCCTGGGACACGCGGTGCCGTAAACACGTCGCTTCTCTGCACGCTGATCTTCGGGGTTCGAAGTCTTTCCCAAGGGACAAAGGGGAGGGAGCTGTGGGCCTTGGGTTCTAAGAAGATTTTTTTTGGTATTTTTAATTCCCCATAAGTTTGTTTTTGAGAGTCTCACTGTGTAGGCCAGGCTGGCTGGAGCTCAAGGCAATCCTCCTGCCTCCACGGGCCACCACGCCCAGCTACAGTCGGCCCTGTCTCCGCCCTGCTGTCCGTGTCACTCACCCTGCAGAACCCTCCTGGCCCCCTGCTGCTGCTCCCCACACCAGGCCGCCCCGCCTCTCCCCGCCCCGCCCCTTGGGCCTGCTGCTGGCTCTGGCTGGGACGCTCACTCGCTGGACCTCTGCTCCCGGCGCTGGCCCCCCTGGGCCCCGCTTTTCCAGGTGCCGCAGCCCCTGCTCCCTCCCTGCCCTGTCCGTTTTCCTCTCCAGCAGCATTTTCTGCTGACAGTCCCTGCTCCGCTGACCGCCTGCCCCAAGGTCTGGCTTCCGGTTTGTGCACTGGGCACCAAGCCGGCTGGGCTTATTTTTTGTGTCCAAGAATATCCCTACTTCCACCCCCACCTCATGCCAACTCCAAGGCTTGTCCCCTCCTGCTGGTCCCAGCCCCTCAGTGCCCTGCGTGCTCCTCCACCAGTCCTAGCCCCAACCTCGCCCCAGGGCATGCTGCCTGGAGCCTGCAATCCTGGCACTCAGGAGGCTGAGGCAGGAGGACCTCCAAGAGCTCAAGGCCAGCCTAGGGTACAGTAAGGCTGTCTCAAATCAACACCAACAAAAAGACATACACAGGCCCCAGCACTGGATTTTATTGTTGCCCCGGCAGAGGGGAGGCCCAGGGCCGGCGCTGAGTTTCTGGGCCTCAGTGGTGGTGGCTCAGACTTGGGGTGTAGTGGGTGAAAGCTCCTGGGGGCTGAGCTGGCGTGCCAGTCCCAATTTGGGTGGGAGACCCTGTGGTGAGGATGGTACTGACCACACTGGGGGCTCTGAGGGGCCCAGGTGGGGAAGGCAGGGTCGGGTCCCCAGGGGAGACTGAGGCAGGAAGGTCCCTGAGAGCCGGGCCTCGAGCTGTGTCCGCTTGCCCCCCCGGGCCTCAGAGCTCGTCGTGATGTCGTGTCAGGTCCTCGCCGTAGTTGGTGGCCTGGCTGCCCACGAACATGTTCCAGTTCTGCAGGATCTCAGCCTTGCTCAGCCGCCCGTCCTGGGGGGTCAGGGGTCAGCGAGGTCCCCCGGGGGAAACGGGGACCATGGCGCAACTTGTGAGGACGCGGCTCGCGCCGAGGGTGGGCCTGCCCCCTCCCCAGGCCCCGCCCGCCGCACCTTGTCCACGTCGCTCTCGTGCAGCAGGTGGTTCGCCTCCACCAGGGGCTGGTCCTGAGACGGGGGCAGCACCCAGTATCCGACCTCGCTGCCGTCCAGCCGCCCGTCCTTGTTGAGGTCGCGGAAGTCGCGGAACTGCTGCCGCTCCGTCTGGACCCAGGCCGGCTCCTCCTCCCCCGGCTCCGCAGAGTACAGGTCCGCTGCCGGGGACACGGGACACGGAAACTGAGGCCCAGCCTGGGCTCTGATACCGCTTGGCCCGTGACCCTGGGCGACTCACTTTCCTTCTTTTATTTTTTGGAGGCTGTTCTCAAACTCACAGAGAGCCTCTTGCCTCAGCCTCCCCAAGGCTGGGATAACAGGGCTGGGGATTTAGCTCAGTGGCACAGTGCCTGCCTGGCAAGCGCAAGGTCGTGAGTTCGATTTCTGGTACCGGAGAAAAACTAAAACCAAAAAAAAAAAACCAAAAAACAAAAAACAAAGCCTGGGATAACAGACATGGGCCAATACATCTAGCTTCACTTTCCTTTGGTCACCTTTGTTTCTCCTTGTGTTTATTTATTTTTGTTTTGTTTTTTTTGGTTTTCCTCCGGTACCGGGAACCAAACTCACAACCTTGCACTTGCCAGGCAGGCACTCTTTGCCGCTGAGCTAAATCCCCAGCCCCCCTCCTTGTGTTTAAAGGGAATGAAGAACAAGACCTGAGTTCAGAATGACTCGGGTTGGTGTGAAACGGATCAGCTTAATTGATTCACGGATCAGTCCAGTGGGGGGATGGGTGTCCCAGTGACCCTGGTGCCTCCGAGGAGGAAGGGCCGAAGGGCCGAAGGGCCGGGTGGAGATGGCTGCGGTCCAGGAAGAAAGAGGAAGCACCACAAACCTCTCCCCAGATCAGCCTACGCCTCCTCCCCACAATGCTTGACTCTTGCAAAAGCCCTGGCCCCGGGGTGGCCCCAGAAGTCAGGACAACCTGACAAGTCTTTCTACAGCAGGTACAGCCATGAAAATTACAATGGAAGTTTCCTCCTCTGCGGACCAGGTCACACGGCTGCCGCCTAGATGTCATCAGAGATGAGATATGCCGTCAGGCCTGGAGCTGCACGCCTGTAATTCCAGCTCCCTGGGAGGCTAAGGCAGAACTGCAAGTTCCAACCCAGCCAGAGCAATAGAGCAACTTAGCAGGATGTGGTCTTAAAATGAGAAATTTTAGAGCTGGGGATGTGGCTCAGTGGTGGAGCTCCTGCCTTGCATGCATAAGGTCCTGGGTTCAATCCCCAGCACCACAAAAAAATCAAAAATAAAACATTTTAGAAAGACCTGAAGGGTGGAGGATATAGCTCAGTGGCACAAGCACCTGGCTGGCAAGCGCAAGGTCCTGAGTTCAATTCCTGGTACCAAAAAACAAAAAAAAGAAAGAAAGACCTGAGGATACAGTTCGGTGTGAAGGTCCTGGGTTCGATCCACAGGGCTGGAAAAACAAAAAGCAAGGCCATTCTTATTGGGCTTTGGAGCTGAGCTCAAACCTGTGATCCTGCCTCAGCCTCCCGGAGTAGCTTCGATGACAGGCATGCGTCACTATGCCCTGCTCCGTAAATGCTTTCTCCGTGTGGCACTCGGCAGGTACCGGATGAATCCAGGCGACACGCGGAGTACACCACAGGGTCTCTGCTTCAGAGGCCGCTGCTCCTGGGGGTGACGACCACCCAATGCCACGCATGCGCGAGGCCGCACTGCCGCCATCCGGCCACACTCACCGATATACTCCTCCACCTGCACATAGCCGTCCTTATCCTTGTCCAGGTCCTCCAGGGTTTCCTGGGGAGAGAGTGTTGGGTGGGCTCAATGCACTGGCTCTGAGAGGGAGTTGGTTTTTTTTGGTCCTGCTATGTAGTTCAGGCTGGCCTCGAGCTCTCAGAGATCCTCCTGCCTCAGCCACCCAAGTGCTGGGATTACACATGTGCACCACCACACCAGGCTCTGTTCCCCAGTTGTACATTCAGATTTATTTAGTATAAAATGGTGCATGAATCTGATAGGGCCATGATGTCTTTCCTTTCTTCTCCCCCCCCCCCCGTACCAGGAATCGAACTCATGACCTTGTGCTTGCCAGGCAGGTGCTGTGCCACTGAGCTAAATCCTCAGCCCCAATGTCATTCCTTTTAAGCAGACTCAAGTTCCAACATTTTTGGGGGGATGGACTACAGCTGTGTGCCCCCCACAGCAAACTCCAGCATTTCAGACTGGACAGGAAAGAGAACAGGCTAATTAATTTGAATTTTAATTAACTAATTAGTTAATTAATTTGATGGTACCAGGGATTCAGTCCAGGGCCTTCACACTGAGCTCCATCCCCAGACATTAATTTTTTTTTTTTTTTTTAAATTTGAGGCATGGTCTTGATAAATTCCTAAATTTCTCAGGTTGGGTTTAAACTTTCAACCCTCCTGCTTCAGCCTCCCAGAGTGCTAAGATTACAGGTGTGTGCCAGCATACTTGGCTACATTTGAATGTTAGATGACAACAATAATTCTTTGGTATAAGTCTGTTGCATTCAATATCTGACTACCCCCACCATGAGTTATATTGCATTTCAGATAAACAAATCACTTTGTAGTGCAAGTATGTCCCAAATATTGTGGGAGATTCCTGGTATGAAGACAAATACTGTACAGGAGACTAAAGAATTTGTTGTTGGAGTCGGGTGTGGTGGTGCACACCTGTAATCTCAGCACTCAGGAAGCTGAAGCAGGAGGGTTGCCATGAGTTCCAGGCCAGGGTTCACAGTGAGTTCAAGACAAAAGACAGCAGAGGGACTGAGGAATACTACACAGCCCAGTAAAGGGTGGGTGCCCTGCCCTGTGTGAAAGTTAGGCACTAAGTTGGCCGGGAGCTGGCAGCTGGGGCTCCTCAGCAAGGGAAGACTGACTGGTGTTTTCCTCCTCTGTTTTATTTTTTTTTTTATTTTTTATTTTTTATTTTATTTTGTTTTTTTTGTTTTTTTTTTCTCCAGTACCGAGGACCGAACTCACGACCTTGCACTTGCCAGGCAGGTGCTTTTGCTGCTGAGCTAAATCCCCAGCCCCCTCTTTTTTTTTTTTTAAATTTTTTAATTTTTAGTCTTTTTGAAGCAGGGTCTCGCTATGCAGTTCAGGCTGGTCTTGAGCTCACTTTGTAGCCCAGGCTGGTCTCAAACTCGCAACGATCCTCCTGCCTCAGCCTCCCGAGTACCGAGATTACAGGTGTGCGCCACCACACCCAGCCTCCTCCTGTTTTCTTAATCATTAGCTGGAGATAAGATCCACTTGTGGCAGCAAACTTTGGCTCAAGGGATGGGGGCCTCCTCTGAGTGCGATAAGGGCCAGGCCTGGATAAAGGCTGTCTAAGGTCAGGGCTTGGAAAGACCCAGGGCTTGGAACGAACTGAATGGAGAACATCTGACCAGAGGACAGGCGACCCCTTCAGCTGCACCTGGCCAGGGTGACTTCCCAGAGGAGGGAAAGGCGAAAATGGAGCCGGGGCACTCCCAGGGGTACCTGTCACTTGGGCTTGGCCACCACGCTTTAAGGTGTTTCTGTCTCTGAAAACCCAGCACTTTGCCACGATCCCTGCCCATGCTCTGAAACCCAGCACTCGGGAGGCTGAGGCAGGAGGATTATAAGTTGGAGCCCAGCTTGGCCAGTTTAGTGAGAGACCCTGTCTCAAAATTTAAAATTAGGGGGCTGGGGATACAGCTCAGCAGCACAGTGCCTGCCTGGCAAGCATGAGGTCCTGAGTTCGATTCCTGGTACCAAAATAAAAATAAAAAATAGGGCTGGGGATGTAGCTGAGTGCAAAGCTGCTGATCCCGAGGGTCCTTCTGTGGTCCCTGGAGTTGCTCTGAGAATGGAGACTTGAGGGAGCTGCTGGGAAACAAGGCTGGGGCGGGGGACAGGGACAGGAGAGTTTTCTTCTTCATCCCTCAGACATTTAGGCACATCCACGTGACACGTATTTTGAGAAAGACATGAAGACTTCTTTTTTTTTTTTTTTCTTTTTGAGACAGGGTCTTGCTATACAGTTCAGGCTGGCCTTAGGATCACTTTGTAGCCCAGGCTGGTCTCTACCTTGTGACGATCCTCCTGCCTCAGCCTCCCGAGTGCTGGGATTACAGGCATGTGCCACCACGCCCAGCAAAGACTTCTAAAATACTTTGAAATTGTGAAAAGTTAAGCATGATGGAAATAAGTAAAAATCCTTCCATTTAGAGTGGATTCCTAACCGGGCATGCTGGTGCACACCTGTAATCCCAGCACTTGGGAGGCTGAGGCAGGAAGATTGCTTTGCGTTCAAGGTCAGCCTGAACTACATAGTGAGACCCTGTCTCAAGAAAAAAAATAAATAAATAAAACGAGTCCTAAGACCAGGTGACAGCCACGGGATGGGGTGGGACACACCTGTAATTCCAGTGCTCTGCAAACTGAGGCAGGAGATTTGCTGCTGGTAGTTTGAGGCCAGTCTAGGCTACATAGTGAGTTCAAGACCAGCCTAGACTACAGAGCAAGGACCCTGTCTCAAAACAAAACAAAACAAACAAAAGACCAGGTGGCAGCCTAGCGCAGGAAGGCGCTAGAAGGCGGGACATCGCCTGGTTGGCTGGGTCCGGAGGGCACAGCAGGCACTCACAGCGATCACGATGTCCCGCATGTGCGGGAACTCCTCGGGGTGCAGGAAGGCCGTCAGCTCCTCCCTGGTGGCCATGGAGTCCCCGTCCTGGTCAGCCACCCGGAAACGCCGCTCGTCCCGGGCCAGCATCTTCTTATAGGTCTCAGCATCCTCTACATCATGGAATTCCTCCCCTGGGAGGGCGGAACGGGAGGGAGGGTCTCAGGGAGGGAGGGTCAGGTGCGGAGGGAAAGATAGGGGACTGGGGGGGGTGGGGGTCAGGACAAGTCCACAGAGTTCAGAAGCACTAATGTGTACCAGTGACTTCTGTCATTCACACAGCCAGGTGCAGTGGCACAGGCCAGCTTGTGTGCCACCTGGAATCCCAGCAATTGGGAGGCTGAGGCAGGAGGATCACTGAGAGTTCCAGGGCAGCCTGAGCTACATAGTGAGTTCAAGGCCAGTCTAGGCTTGCACTACTTAACAAGACCCTGTCTCACAAAACCAATACGTAAATTTATTACATAAGTTTTTAATACAGAATAAAGTATATAAAATAAATGAGATTTTTCATGAAAAAAAAAAAGTATATATTATTAGCTACCTTTTTTTTTTTTTTCTAGGCAGTCCTGGGGTTTGAACCCAGAGCCTTTGCACTCAGCTACATCCCTAGCCAATTTTTTGTTGTTGTTTGTTTTTTGGATGCAGGAGCTCTCTATGCACTTCAGGCTCGCCTTGAACTCATTATGTAGCCCATGCAGGTCTTGAACTTGTGGTGATTCTCCTGCCTCAGCCTCCAGAGTGCTGGGATTACAGGTGTGAGCCACCAAATACAGATCCCAGCCAGTTTTTATTTTGAGACAGGGTTTTGCTCAACTGATGAGTTGCCCAAGTTGGACTCAAGCTTGCAGTCTGCCTCAGCCTTCCAGAATGCTGGGATTGCAGTTGTACACCACCATGCCTGCCTAGACGGCTAATTTATAGCAGGAACTTAACATATTCTAAGATCTTTACATACAACACTGCATTTAATCCTCACAAAAAGCAAGATAATTGGGTTCTTCTGGGTTTTTTTACTTCCTGAATGAGAAAGTGACTCTTGGAAGGGGAAATAACAGGGACTTAGCCAGGCACTGGCCAGTTTGGCCCCAAAGTGCCTGATGCAGGAGGCTATCCTGACTCAGCTTCCTCACAGGGAGGGAAGGGCATATGCAGGATGCAGAGGGTTGGGGAGATGGTCTGGTCCAGGATCCACAAAAGATCCATTGGGATCCATGGTTGGAGAGGATAGAGCAGCCCTTAGCAGGGTCCAGGCATCAGCTCTAGGGGTGCAAATACCCCAAGGAGCTGGGGGAGCTGCTGGAGGGAAGGCTGGGGTGCAACACCAGGGGGGCCAGACCATGGGGGCACTGGGGCCAGGCACCCGGTCAGGAGAGAAAACTGGGAGTCAGAGTTCGAGGCAAATGGCTTTGGGGTTCTCAGGGTGGGAGGTTGAAGGTCAGAGGTCAGGAGACAGGATGCGGAAGACAGGGGTTCCAGTGAGGAACCTGAAATCCTCAGTCACCAGCCCACAGAGATTAGGATCTCAGAATGAAAAGCAAGCTGTCATAAACTGGGGGTCTCCTAAGCCAGGCGCGGTGATGCACTCTTGTATTCTCAGCACCGTGGAGGCTGAGGCAGGAGGATCCCCACAATTCGAGGCCAGCCTGGACTACAAAGCAAAACCCTGTTTTACCACCCCCCTCCAAAAAAAAAAGGGGCCTCAGAATGATGAGATCCTAAAATGGATGAGGGGACACAGGCAGGGGTTCTGGGTCAAAAGGTTAAGCGTCCTCAGGATGAAGGGATCAGAAGGCCAGGGTCCTGGTGTGTCGTGGGGAGCAGGGTCAGGTCCCACGCATACCCGGAGCGTAGTGACCGTAGGTGGCGTTGCGCAGCTCCTCCCAACCCACGCGCCCGTCGCGGTCCGTGTCGTACGTGTCCCAGGCCGCGCTCACCGAGTCCCGTATGTGGCGCTGCTGCGTGTGCGCGATCCAAGAGCGAAGCTCGGCCAGCGACACCCAGCCATCCCCATCACCGGCGCGGTCCATACGGTCCACTATCCGCCTGCCACGGGGCGGGGCAGCGTCAGCCCTGGGCCACGCCCACACCTGGACGCACCCCCCCAGGCCCCGCCCCGAACAGGAGCACCCCGCCCCCCACAGGGTCCTCTCAGAGCAGGAAACACGAGGCTCCAATCCGACGGAGTGCCACAGGCCTGTAAACCCAGCACTTTGGGAGGTTGAGGCAGGAGGACGGCAAGATTCAATTAGGCCCTGTCTCAAAAAAAAAAAAAAAAAAAAAAAAGCCTAGGAATGGTGGCGCATTCCTATAACCCCAGCAACTTGGGAGGCTGACGCAGGAGGATCGGGAAATCAAAATCAGCCTTTGGCACATGAGCCAGACCTATGTTCTCGGAAAAACAAAAACAAAAAGGTCTGGGGGTTTAGCTTGGTGGTAGGACGCCCCTGGGTTTGATCCGCAGTAGTGCAATAAATAAACAAATAAAATGAAAAATAAAGAGCTTGTGCCGGGCGTGGCGGTGCACGCCTGTAACTCCAGCACTTGGGAAGCTGAGGCAAGAGGATCGCCGCTGATTTAAGGCCAGCCTGGGCTACACAGACTGTCTCAAAAAAAAAAAAAAAAGGAACTAGTTAGGCAGCTCAGTGCGAACGTGCTGGGTTCAATCCCCGGAATCAAAAGGAAAAACAACAAAAAGCAGTCCGGGATCCGAGGCTGAGGGGCACATGTCAATCTCGGGACCCCGCCTACCGCAGAGCCCCGCCTCTGGCCCAGAACCCGCCCCTGGCCTGGAAGGCCCGCTACAAATCTGGGCCACGCCCTCTACTCCCCCAACACACCCCAGTGCGTGCACATGCGCGGACTCTGGCTGTCCCCAGGAGGGCTGAGGCCACGCCCCCGCCGTCTCCGCCCCGCCCCTTCTCCCAGCAGTTCCAGCTCAGGCCCTGGGGGCAGCTCTGCCCAGGGCTCGCAACGGTGCCGGCCCGCTCGGCCAGCGGGACTCCACTCTTCCCTGCCGCGCCCGCCGGGCAGCTGGGCAGCCGCGCACTTTCCCGGCTCCCTCTTCCCTGGCCAGGGTCAGGGTCCTGGTCCTCGACCCAACGCTGACATGGACCGCGTGGGGCGCCCGGTCATCATCCCTCGCCCCTGGGGGACCCAGTCCCAAGCTCCCCTCAGTCCCGCGAGTGGCTGCGAGCTCCAGCAGTGAGTAGAAGCCTCCTTGTGCCCTTCACTTAACCCTTGTATAAAATGCGCTAAAGAACTGTACCTGGGCCACAGGGACTTTGGGGGCTGAGTATTAAGCCATTAAAGCACTTGAGCCAGTGCGGTCCTCCCCTACTCCCCTCGAGACCCCTCCTGCAAAGCTCTGGCCTGGCTCTCATCCCAGAGAAGCCAGAAGTCTCCCAGGACCCAAAGACCCTTCGGGAGACGAGGTACTGGCTCCCACCCTCTCCCTCTGCTCTCGGGGTTCCGGCCGCAGTGGTGGCAGCAAGGGTTTTGTGAGCCCGAGGCACAGCAGCCCGGCTCTCACCTCAGGGCCTTTGCACTTACTGACTTGCTGTTGTTTCTTTCACTACCTATGAACCTCTTGAAGGCAATGAGCTTTGTCTGATTTGTTCCCTGCTGCGACTTCACCCCGAGGAGTGGTGCCTGCATACAGTAGGTGCTCAGTGAACGCTTGCAGAATGAGCGGGCATCCCTGGATGCCCTGGGGCAAGCAGGCTGGTGTAGGGACCCTGTTCCATGTAGCTCACCCTGCAATTCAGAGCTCAGCCATTTTCCTGGCCTGACTGGGCTCCTTCCGCACAAAATCTTTTTTCCCCCATCACTCCGGCCAAGGAGCCTAAGGACACGTTTACAGAGCGGGCAACTGAGGCTGCAGGGGACGCGTCCGGGACAGCAGCACCGAGTGATCTGGGGTAGAATCTGGCCCTAACGTTTGCAGCCATCGAAGCTCACACTTTGAGGGCTCAATTCTTGTTCGTCTTTTTGACACAGGGTTTCGTTATGTACTCCAGACTAGCCTGGGACTTGCAGCAGTCCTGCTGCCTCAGCCTCCCACGTGCTGGAATTCCAGGGAGGCCACCACACAGGGCACCCCTCTCTTACCCGAGGCGGGCCTGGCTTTCCTCCGGGGTGAGCTGGTCGAATTCCTTGGCCACCTCCCGTCCTAGGAAGGCCTCGTGGTCGTACTGGAAGTTCCCGTGGGCGTCATCGTGCGGGGCGTCGCTCAAGGGGGCTGCCTGGTGCACCCTGGCCTGGCCATGAGGCCCTGCGTCCGGGGACGGCTTCCCTTGGGCCCCGCGCCGCAGCGGCGGCAGCAGCAGCGGCAGAAGCAGCAGCAGGAGCGATGGACGCCACATCGTCAGGCCCTGCGGCGCAGCGGGTCAGAAGTCAGCGGTCGTGAGGAAGAGGGCGGCAGTGGATCGGAACCGGAGTGACGGGGGTTCCTTGGGACAGACGGGGAGATGGGCGGTGCCTGCGGAAAGTTTCGGGCTCAGTGGGGGCGGTGACGGGCAGGAGGTCAGGGTGTCCAGCGAGGACCCTGATCTTCCGGGCCCCAGGGGTCCCCGAGCACACAGAGGTGATCCCCAGAGACGTGGCACGTGTCCCGCGCAAAGCTCAGGACGTGGTGATGGTCGGTGAGATGCGGCAAGACCCCTACATCGCCCCCGGCCAGGCCCTGACTCTGCGGTTGAGCTCCTCCCTGGTCCCCCTCCCACACGCATACCCCGTTACCCTGTTACCCAGCTTCTCTCCGCTCCCCACGCTCGGCTCCGAGTTCTCCCAAAGATGCCCAATTTGGCGGCCATCCAGGCAGGTCCCGCCCCGGCTGCGCAGAGGCCACGCCCACCGACCAATGAGCGCTCGCGAGGGGCCCAGGGGGCGGGGCCAATGAGCGGGCGAGAGTGCCTCGGGCTGCCGGCGCCACGTCCACAAAAGAAGTTCGGGTGGGCGAAGGCGGAGTGACGAGGCCCGGAGAACCACAACTCCCGGCGGGCATCGAGGCGCCCTGCCGACCACCCCCAGCGGCCCTCGAGCCAAAGCCTCATGGGAGATGTATTTCTCTCCGGTTCCCTTTGTGGGGATGGTGTAAGGATCAGAGCCAAAGGACTGGAGAAGTTATTCCTTTCCCTCCAAAAGGGAGCAGCAGCTTTTCTCTTCTGCGCCATCAAGGATTCGGAACATACTCCAGCCAAGAGTTCCACAGAACGCCTGGCACAGCATTCCGTAGATACGTGTGAAACTCATGAGTGAAAAATAGATGAGTCGGTACAGAAAACTGGCAGATGCTAGAGCTGGGCATGGTGGTGCACGCCTGTAATCCTAGCACTCGGGAGGCTGAGGCAGGAGGATTGCCATGAGTTCGAGGCCAGCCTGGATTACATAGTGACTTCAAGGCCAGCATGGACTACACAGTGAGGCCCCGTCTCCAAAAACAGAAACATTGGGAAAACCTCTCATAGCCACCTGTTAGGCATAAGAGCGAGCTGCATCAGCTCAGGGCTTGCCACCACCCAGACCCTCCACCCATTCGTGACCTCCGCGGCCTGCAAACTAGAAAAGATTGAGAACACAGGGATTCGGGCCCAAACTCGTGTTTATATGTGAAGTGAAAAAGGGCTGGAGCTGTCGGGAGGGGACACTGAGGCGGAGCCCGGGAGGCGGGCTCTGCGGGGGCCTGGGGCCCAGCACTTGTTCTGGAGGCTCAGAGATCCAGGATTCCAGGGGTCTCACAGCAGAGACGCGACCACAGCGGCCGGCAGTGGCCAAGCCGGCCGTCAGGCAGTGCCATTGGTGTCTCGGGAGTCGGGCTCCTGGGGCTGCCCGGGGCCAGGCAGCAGCGCGCCGACGTCGTCCCCACGGAGGGAGATCCAGGGAGCTGCCAAGAGAAGGCCGTGGGCGCCGGCGTGTGGACTGCTGCGTGCGCGTCCACGTCTGCGGTCCGCTCTATTCTCTGTGCCCACCTCCCCTGGTTCCTCTCTCCAGGCCTCTGGCCCCAGCTCCGTGTCCCCTTTCCCCTCCCGCCCGGGTTACCCGCCTGGGTCCTCACGTGGCATGCCGCTCCGCATCCTTCGCCACAGCAGAGCTCCTCCCACCGCGGCGGCCAGCAGCAGGAAGGCCAGGACGATCCCCACCACGGGTACCGAGGACTCGGCAGGGGACTCTGAGGCCAGAGAACGCCCGGGATGTGTCCAGCCCTCCACCCACCCTGGAGGACAGGGAGTGGTGGTCCTGGTCCCGCCCAACCTCCGAGATCCCCAGATGACCCCCTGAGCCCAGGCAGAATGTCCCTAGGTTGGGTGTTGAGAACCAGCCATAGCATCCGAGTGTGGTGGCGCACGCCTGTCATCTGAACACTCAGGAGGCTGAGGCAGGAGGACTGCGACAAGTTCGAGGCCGCCCTAGACTGTACAGTGAGTCTCAAAAAAAAAAAAGGAAGAAAGAAACCAGAACCAGCCAAAGTCAGAAAAGGTCAGTCACCCTGACCAGGGACCTGCAGTAGTGGGAAGGTGGCTTCCAGCTCGTGGAGGAGGGGCAGGCACAGGGGCCTCGGAATCACAAGGCAGGAGGTGATCAGTCTTGGTGGGGCTAGCAGTGCAGGAAGTAATAGACTCCCGGAAGAGCAGCAGCAGCAGCAGCAGCAGCAGCAGGAGGAGGAGCCAGGACCACAGATGCCAAGTCCCCGCAGGCAGGTGTAGCAGGACAGAAGCAGCCAGGATCGGGGACACCCGCATTAGCAGGCGGAGACAAGGCCAGCCCGGGGAGGGGTCACTGCAGCAGCGGACAGGGACACTCAGCGACGGGGACGTCCCTCTGGCTCACCCAGCTCCACAGAGAGTGGCTGCGGCAGCCCCGCATGCTGCACCAGGCAGCGGTAGTGGTGCTCATCCCCGCGCCGCACCGTGAGTGACGACCACGCGTGGAAGGAGCCGTCGCCGTTGGGGCCGAAGCCGCCCTCCCCCGTGCCCACTGCAAGCCCATTTCGGAGGAAGTGCAGGTGCAGCTCCGGGGGGTAGAAGGAAAAGGCGCTGCAGGTGAGCACGGAGGAGCCGTCACTGCCTGGCCTGGCCTTCAGACGCATGGAGGGTGGTTCTGCGGGGACAGGGCAGGAGCTGAACCCAGGGCAGGCCGGGGCACGGCGTGCCACCATCCTGTGCCCTGTACTGTGCCGAGCCTAGAGAATGTATCGGTGAAAGGGGGAGGACCAGGTGTGGTGCCTCACACCTGTCATCCCAGCATGCCGGGAGGCTGAGGCAGGAGGATTCCCAGCTCAAAGCCAGCCAGGGCTATATATGTTTCAAAGCCAGCCTGAAACATATAGCCAGACCCTGTCCCAACCACCGCCCTCCCCATAAATAAATAAATAAATAAATAGCAAGCCAGGTGTGGTAACACTCCCCTGCAATCCTAGGTACTCGGAGGCTGAGGCAGGAGGATCTCAAGTTCAAGACCTGCCTGGGCAACTTAGCAAGGCTATGTCTCAAAATAAATCAACTTGCAGGCAGGTTGGGCTACAGCTCAGTGGCAGGGCACAAGTGCACTCGAGGCTCTGGCTTCAGTCCCAGTGCTTCCCCCAGAACCAGGGCAAAGGGATTTGAGCAGCTGCCAGGCAGAGCTGGGCGTTCCTCTGAAGAGGCCCAGGGTGGGGCTCGCAGCTTCCCTCCTGGCAGTGGTCGAGCTGGGGCGCAGCAGAAGAGCAGTTCAGCGTTTCCTGGGAAGTGCAGCCGGAGCGCCTGTGTGGCCTCAGTATCTCTGCTGCGGTCAGGGCCTGGAAGGGCCGCGCCCGGCCACCAGCACTGTGTCCTTTTCCTGTCCCTGCTGCTTTCCAGGAAGCACTGCTCGCCACATCACTTTGGATTTTCGAGGCAGGGTTTTGCTATGTAGCCCAGTTGGCCTCAAATTCACAGCAACCCTCCTGCCTCAGCCTCCCAAGTGCCGGGTACAAATGTACACCACCATGCATGGAGGCCCGCATTACTTCTGTCTTCAGGGCACAGTGTTTTCGATCTGGGCTAAATCCAAGCACAGAAAACCTTCCTGGCCTTTCTTTCTGCTTAAGGAAACACCAGGACCGAAAACATTACAAAGCATTACATAGCTGGGTAAAATGGAGTGAACCTGTAATCCCCCAGCACTCGGGAGGCTGAGGAAAGAGGTTGAGTTTAAACCCAGCCTGGTACTTTATTGATTTAGCAAGACCCTGCCTCAAAATTTAAAAACTACAGGGGTTGGAGATTTAGCTAAGTGGTAGATAGCTTGCCGAGCAAGCCTGAGGCCCTGAGTTCGGCCTCAGCACCAAAACAGTAAAAAACAAAATACAAATTTAAAAAGTAGAAAAGATGGCTGGGCGTGGGGGCACACGCCTGTCCAGCGCTTGGGAGGCTGAGGCAGGAGGATCGTTGCAAGTTCAAGGCCAACCTGGGCTACAAATTGAGCTCGAGCCCAGCCTGAACTGCATAGCGAGACCCTGTCAAAGACACCCCCCCCAAAAAAAAAATGTAAAAAAGGCTACCTATGGTAGTGCACGCTTGTAATCTCAGCATTCCAGAGGCTGAGGCAGGAGAACTGCAGCGAGTTCAAGGCTAGTCTGGGTTGCATAGTGAGACCTTGTCTCAAAAACAAAAAATAAATAAATAAATAAATAAAAATAAATAAATAATTAGGAGGCAGGGATATGGCTCCTGGACTCCATCATCAGTCCAAAAGAAATGTTCTGAATAGTGTTTTTTGATGTAAGACAAATTTTAATAACCTAACTCCTGCCCAACACACACTTGCTCACTCACCTACCACAAGTTGTAGAGAGGTCATGACACAGACTGCCGGGACAGGTTTCAATGGGTTGGAAAGGCTTTACATTTACATGCACAATTTTTTTTTTTTTTTTGGTCTTTTTATGACAGGGTCTCGCTACAGTTCAGGCTGGCCTTGAGCTCACTTTGTAACCCAGGCTGGCCTGGAATGCACAGTGATCCTCCTGCCTCAGCCTCCCAAGTGCTGGGATTACAAGTGTGCACCACCACGCCCGGTTTAAGTGCACAATTTTGTGGGTATGTGTATTATCTGGGATATGTCCCTTAGCTTTCATCAGATTCTCAAAGTGGGTTAAAACCCAGGACTAACCCAAAGCCAGCCATGGTGATGAATGCATGCCTGTGATCCCAGGACCAAGGAAGGCCGAGGCAGGAGAATCTTGAGTTTGGGGGTTGGTGTTTGTCTTTTTGAGACAGGGCTTCAGTACGCAGTTCAGGCTGGCCTTGAACTCACTTTGTAGCCCACACTGGCCTCAAACTTGTGCATAGCTGGGCATGGTGGCACACGCCTGCAATCCCAGCACTCAGGAAGCTGAGGCAGGAGGATCACTGTGAGTTCAAGACCAGCCTAGGCTACAAAGTGAGCTCAAGATTAGCCTGAACTGCTTAGTGAAACCCTGTCTCAAAAAGACAACCCCCCCAAAAAAACCAACTTGTGGTGGTCCTCCTGCCTCAGCCTCCTGAGTGCTGGAATTAAAAGCATGAACCACCACACTCAGCTCAGGAATATCTTGAATTTGAGCCCAGCCTGGACTACATAGTGAGACTGGCTCAAAAAACCAAAATTAATTAATTAAAGACTCACAAGTGAAAACAACAAAAACTAATAAATAAGGGCAGGGCAAAGGGCTTGGGTAGACATTCCCTGCCCCCCCTCAGGCATATTATGACCAGCAGGCATATTAAAGATATTCAAGGCACTTGTTATCAGGGAGGCCCAAGGAGAAGCACCGCAGTGAGACACACCCTCACCCCTGATCAGATGCTAAGGAAAACTAACAGAGGAAAGAAAAACAGACAACTGCAAGCGCTGGCCCAGATGCAGAAGGGTTCTCTCTGTGTCAGTGGGAGGTGAAAGGCCCAGCGGTAAGGTATGAATTTCCTGGTGGACAACGAAAGCTTGCTCTGGGCTGGGGATATAGCTCAGCGGCACAAGTGCCTGCCTGGCAAGTGCCAGGTTCTGAGTTCAATTCCCGATACAAAAAAATAAAAAAGTTTGCTCTGTTGTGGCCCCGGCATTGCACCTCAGGGTCTTTGTTCTCTGTACTGAAATCAGGATGACCAAGGGATACTGGCCGTGTGCACTGCGGCCTTAATGACAGCAGCCCAGGGGTTGGGACACAGCCTCGGCCAGTGACAGATGAAAGGATGAGAGAGCTCAAGGCTTCCACTATTCAGCCTTTAAATCAAGGAACTTGGGGGCGGGGGCACACATGCCTTGGTCCCAGCCCTCAGGGAGGCTGAGGCAGGAGGATCACAAATTCTTGCTCAGCCTGGGTAACTTAGTGAGCCTGTCTCAAAATTAGAAAAAAAAAAAAAAAAAAAAAAAAAAAAGGATAGGGATGTAGCTCAGGGCAAAGGCCCTGGGTTCAACCCCTGGTACAACATAAAAATGATAAAAGAACTGCGGTAGGTTACAGCAGGGAAGAAGCCCTGAGGTTATGCTCAGGGAAAGCAGCAGATCACAGGAGGCAAGCGCTCTGCAGTGCCACTTGTAGGAGTTGTCTGAAGCTCCAAACTGAGGGACAGAAAGTAGAATGGGGGTCACCACACGCTGCAGGATGGAGAAATAGAGTCTCCGCGTGGTGGGGACAGAGATTCAGGCACCAAGATGCAAAAGCTCTAGAAATCTGCGGTATGAGGTATATGAGGCAATGTGCCCAGTACTGCCTTTTTTTTTTTTTTTTTTTGAGACAGGGTCTCACCATGCAGCGCAGCCTGGCCTCAAACTCACAGAGATTCTCCTGTCTCAGCCTCCCAAGTACTGAGATTACAGGTATGTGCCACCATGGCTGGTGAAAGTTCCAGTTTTTTAAACTGGACCAAAAAAAAAAGCACTCCTGCAGGTGGCCAAAAATGTGAATGTGTCATCAGACAATGAAAAATGAAATCATGAGATCTAACTACACACCTGTCAGACCAACTAACAGGAAAGACTGAAAGTATCAATTTCTGGCAAGTCTGGAGCGACCAGAATTCTATACAGCTGCTGGGAGAAAACAGCACAAGCTACTAAAGCTGATCATATTACTTAGTACCCTATGGCCCACTGATCCTACCATACACATTTCCTAAGAATAAATGAAAATATAGACCCACGAACAGACACTCATAGCTGGGAGTAATGGCACCTGCCTATAGTGCCAGGCATTTGGGAGGCTGAGGCAGGAGGATCACTTGAGCCCTGAAGTTCAAGGCCAGCCAGCCAGGGCAACATAAAAAAAATAAAGAGAGAGAGAGAAAGAATATTCATAGGAAGGCAGGTATGGTGGTTCAGCCTTCTAATCCCAGCACTCTCTGAGAGCCTAAGGCAGGAGGATTGATTGCCCAGCCTGGCCAATTTAGCAGGACTCTGTCTCAAACTAAAAAATAAAAAGGGACAGTTTGTAATAGCTAAATCTTGGAAACAGCTCAAATGCCCAACAATAGATGAATGGATAAAGAAGATTTTTTTTAATACAAAGGAGCCCTACTCTGCTATAAAGAAGGACAAGCTCGAGACATTCCTAGATAAACGGATGGGCCTGGAGACCATACTCTTAAGTGAAATAAACCGGACACATGCGTGTAAATACTGCATCGTTTCTCTGGTGTGAGAAACTGGAAGTGTAAATAGGGACCTAAGTGTACAATAGATAGTGGGAAATTGGAAGAAAATGTTCAAATGGGGAAGGGAATAAAGGAGGGGGAGGAAAGGAAGAAAGGAACAGGAAAAAAAGCAGCAGCAAGATTTGTAATGGACAGGTACAAATTCCCTGTGATGAACGTCATTATGTACATCTAAAATGTACCAATAAGGGGCTGGGGATTTAGCTCAGCGGCACAGCGCCTGCCTGGTAAGCACAAGGTCGTGAGTTCGATTCCTGGTACCGGAAAAAAAACAAAAAGGGATGGGGATGTAGCTCAGCGTAAAGGCCCTGGGTTCAATCCCCAGCACCGCAAAAAATAAAAAGTATTTTCAAAGTGAGGCGAGCCGTGGTGGCACACACCTGTAATCCCAGCACTGGGGAGGCTGAGGCGGGCAAACCATTGAGAGTTCGAGGCCAGTTTGGGCTACAAAGTGAGCTCAAGGCCAGCCTGAACTGCACAGCGAGACCTCGTCTCAAAAAAAAAAAAAAAAAAAAAGTGACGCGAGCAATGCGGACAGGAAATACCCGTCCAGGCGGCCAGGATGGGTGCTGCGCACGGTCCAGCAGGGGCTGAAGGTGAAGCCCCACCGGATCCGGCCGGGACAGGACCCGGGGCGCAGGGTCCTCGCCGCGAACGCAAGTGCAAAGGCCAAGGGTAGAGCTGGCGCTGGGAGGAGGGGAGCAGAAGCCAGCCCAGCCCTGCTGACTCGGGAGCATTCCTGAGGGTTCTCTGCGGACTCACAGGAAGCCCCCGGAGGTTTGAAGGGGCGCCCATGACTGCCGCGATGCGCCGGCGGCGAGGTGCAAGTGGGAGACCACAGCAAAGGGCAAGAAGGACACAAGACCTGTAGGAGCCCAGGGAGGTGGCATCTGTAGTCCCAGCTTTGTGGGGAAGCTGAGGCAGGAGGACTGCTTAAACCTTCAAGTTCTAGACCAGCCTGGACAGAGATCATCTCCAAAGTAAAACAAAGGATAGTGTCTGTGAGTTTATAATAATATTTAGACAACATAAAACTCACAAATCCCTTCACAGGTTGATAGCTGATGACCTAAATTCTAGATAATAGCCCGGTGTAGTGGCGTGTGCCTGTAATCCCACCACTTGGGAGGCTGAGGCAGGAGGATCACCACAAGTTCGAGGCCAGCCTGGGGTACAAAGTGAGCTCAAGGCCAACCTGAACTGCATAGCCAAGACCTTGTCTCAAAAAGAACAACAACAACAAAAATCAATAAAAAAAAAAATAAAAAGGAAAGCAAAACAAATTTTAAAAATATTTTTAACCACAATCAAATCTAGAAAGACACATTCCACAACATCACAGACATACAAAGAAAAAACCCAGCCTGGGCCAAATCCAATGGAGCAAATAACTAGGAAAGAAAAGAGAGACCTACTCAGGGCCCCCTTCTGTCCCTTTCTTGGACAGAAGCTTTCTTTCCCTCAATAAATATATTCTGCTCTTAAAAAAAAAAAAGAGAAATAGAAGACACTCAGAATCACGAAAATTAACTCAAGTCAAAGCCTGGACCTAAATATAAAATGGAAAACCGTCACAGTCCCAGAGATAAATGGAAGATGGGGGCAATGCTGGGCTTGGTGATGACAGCTGACACATCCCGCCAGAAACGTGCAGAGAGTAGGACTCCGACTTCATTCCCCTCACAGACTTCCGCTTCGTGAAAGATACTAAGAGAAGACCTGCCAAGAATCGAGGCCGCAAGGCACCGTCTGACAAAGGTCTGGCTCCAAAACACAAAGAGCTCTCAAAACTGAACATAAGAAAAAGACACTGGAGAAAAAAAAGAAAGAAAGAAAAAGACACTGTCTTCCCAGCCCTCTGGCGGCTGAGGCAGGAGGATCGCTTCGAGTTCAGCCAGCCCAGGCGACATGGTGAGTTCAAGGCCAACCTGAACTACACAGCAAGACCCTGTCTCCAAAAACCAAACACAAAAACAAAAGGTAAAAGGAAAAAGATACTGAAGAAACGGTGCATCTGAATGCAATAGGCAGACCTTGGCGGACCCTGATTCAAACTTTAAAAATCATTTACAACCAGGGAAGGCAAACGGGAACTGAGTGCTCACGTTTCTTTGTTTTGTTTTCATTTGTTTGTTTGTTTTTGTCCTTTTGAGACAGGGTCTCACTATGCAGTTCAGGCTGGCCTTGAACTCACTTTGTAGCCCAGGCTGGTCTCGAACTCGCAACGATGCTCCTGCCTCAGCCTCCTGAGTGCTGAGATTACAGGCGTGTGCCATCACGCCTGACCTCCCAATGCTTTTTTATTTATTTTGAGACAGGGAGGATCTCACTAAATCGCTAAATTGCCCAGACTGGGTTTGAAATTGTGATCCTTCTGCCTCAGCCTCCCAGAGTGCTAGGATCATAGCTGTGTACCGTCACACCTAGGTAACAATGATGTATTAAAATAGGAAATATTATATGTGTGATGTTACCAAGGCTTAATGTGAGGAAGCAGGAGAGGGTACAGGCTAATAAGAACCACTGTGGGTTGCTAATTTTTTTTTAGTTTGTTTTTTCAGACAAGGTCTTGCCACGTAGTTCAGGCTGGCCTTAAACTCACAGCGACCCTCCTACCTCGGCTTCCTAGGTGGTGGGATTACAGGCGTGCGCCACCATGCCCAGTGTGTTGATAATTATTGAGTCACAGAAATGATATTAGCTGGGGGCAGGAGATTTAGCTTGGCAGCACAGCAGCTGCCTGGCAAGAGCAAGGTTGTGAGTTCGATTCCTGGTACCGGAAGAAAAACCAAAAAAAAAAAAAAAGAAATGATATTAGCTGGGCAAGGTGGTACATGACTGTAATCTCAGCACTTGGGAGGCTGAGGCAGGAGGATTGCCATGAATTCAAGGCCAGCCTGGGCTGCACAGACAGACCCTGGCTCAAAAAAATAATAATAAAATAAAAAGATATTATACTATTCCCTATACTTAAACAAGCTTGAAAATTTCCATAATTAAAAAAGAAAAACCACCTGTCTGAGTCGCCCTCTCTTTGTTTTTTTTTTTTTTTGGTTTTTCTCTGGTACTGGGAACCGAACTCACGACCTTGCACTTGCCAGGCAGGCGCTTTGCCGCTGAGCTAAATCCCCAGCCTCTCACCCTCTCTTTGGCAGCACTTAGAGTGGACACGTGGGCCACCCCACGGACGGCTCTCAGCAGCAGCGGGGTCGGGGACGATGACACATATGCCCTTCTCCCTGCCCAGGACCTAGGGGGCCACCTGCGCTGGAGCGGGGGCTGCACACGGGTGACCCGGCTTCCTAGAGTAGGCGACACCCAGGCAGGGCCCGAGAAACGGAACAAGGAGGGTGCCCGTAAGAGGGGCAGGAGGGCTGCTTGGGGGCCAGGGCCTGTAGTGGTGCGGTCAGGTCAGCTGTGTCCCAAGGCTGGAGTGCAGCGACTGGGCTTGTAGAGACCACACTGGGTGGGGCCGAGGAGGACATTAAGGCAAGGAGCTGGGACTTCGTCCTGCAGCACCTGGGAGCCAAGGACGGGAGGCAGCGCTAGGTAAACACTGTCCAGAAATAGGAATGTGGCCGGGCGTGGTGGCGCGCGCCTGTAATCCCAGCGCTTGGGAGGCTGAGGCAGGAGGATCACTGTGAGTTCAGGGCCAGCCTGGGCTACAAAGTGTGCTCAAGGCCAGCCTGAACTGCATAGCAAGACCCTGTCTCAAAAAAAAAAAAAAAAAAAAAAAAAAAAAAAAAAAGAAATAGGAATGTGCAGGGCTGTGCTGGGGGCACCTGAGGTGGGGGGAGGGTGGCCCGTCCTCCCAGCACTCAGGAGGCTGAGGCAGGAGTATCGCTGTGAGTTTGAGGGCAGCCTGGGCTCCAGAGTGAGTTCAAGGCCAGCCTAGATTACATCACGAGACCCTGTCTCCACAACTCAAACAAAGACAGAGAGCTGAGGGAGCTCACCCTTCCACTCCAGGTTCCTGCGGCCCCGCTCCAGGTGGTCCAGCAGCCGCTCTGGGCAGGAGCTGAGCAGGAAGGTCTGCTCCTTGCCTACTGCCTCGGCCTGCTTCTGCCACCGCTGGCTGATGCTCAGGGCCTCGGGCCAGTCGCCCGTCCAGCTGCCGTTCTGGGGGTGGAACTCCATGAAGTACTCGCCATTCAGGGCAAACAGGGCGGTGGGCACCGAGGAGTTGTCGGGGCCGAGCTCACAGCCTAGCAGGCCCTGCAGGGTGTAGGGACCTGGGGTGCCCAGGACACGGCAGGTGGTGAGGAGCAGGGCGGCCTCCTCCCTCAGACGGGGTCTGGCCCAGCCTCCTCCCTCAGACCCCCGGGTCCAGCCCCACCTGTTCCCTCCAGGGCCTGGAGAGCATCCAGAAAGAGGCTCTCCTTGTTCCGCAGGTCCGTGGTCTCCTTCTCCCAGTACCAGGACACCTGGCTCTCCCAGACCCAGGCCCCGCAGGGCTCGGCCTCCCTGCGCAGGCTGCTGTAGCTCAGGTACTGCTGCGGCCCCAGCCAGCCCGACACCCAGAAGGCGGGCGACCCCGCGGCTGGGGACGACACGGCCGTGAGGTGGTACAGGAGGGACAGGTGGTCCTCTGCGGAGACCGGTGGGGGCGGACAGTCAGTGGGGGGGACACAGAGACAGGGCTCCAGCCAGGGAGGTGACTGACTTGGAGAGAGGGGGACAGGGACCCAGAGGGGGACAGGGACCCAGAGGGGGGACAGGGACCCAGAGGGGGGACAGGGACCCGGGGGGGGGACAGGGACCCGGGGGGGGGAAAGGGACCCGGGGGGGGGAAAGGGACCCGGGGGGGGGTGGCTTCCGGACACAGCAGGGAGAGGGGAGGGCACAAGAGCCGCCGGCGGGCAGCCGGGCTGGGGAAGCTGTAAGCCGCCTTCTCGGCCGGGCCGGACCCCGCTCCCCGCCCCCGCTCCCCGCCGCCTCGCTCACCTGCGCCCCAGGTCTGAGGCAGGAGCAGGAGCAGCAGACCGAGCGCCCAGGGCTGAGGCCGGGGCTCCCCCATGCTGAGGGCGACCTGGGGCGGGAGGACACGTGACCTGACTCGGGGCCCTGCCCCGCCCCTTCCTCCGCTGGCCCGGGACACTGCCCAGGCCGGGACGCGGGACCCCAGGTTTGGGGGTCCAGGCCAGCTTGACAACAGTGCCCTCCTGCTCAATGAACTTTCACCCCCTAATTTGATCCGGTTTGGTTAATTAATTACAGAACCTGGCTTGGCCAAAATTCACTTTTTGGAGTTCTGCCCACCCTCCTCCTCCCTCAGACCCGGGGTCCAGGCCGGGCCTCCTCCCTCACCCTGCGTCCAGTGTCCCGCGATCGTCCAGCGATCGCTCCCACCGCGCGTCCTTCCCGCCTGCGGCCCCGGCGCTCCCGTGACTGGAGACCCCAGTTCCTCTCTCACATCCTGTGGGAGGCTGCTCCTTGCTCCCGAGCTGGGCCCACCCCCAGCCTCAGGGCACACCCCAAGTGAGGCCCAGCCTTTCTGGGGGCGTTTTCCCAGCCTGTGTCTCGGCCCCTGGCTGTGCTGTTTGCAGCCTGCGAGCCCTGGAGCCGGGAGGAGAAGCCACTGCTCTCCGGCTCAGTGCAGACGTCCAGGGTCCTGCTGTAACTCTGCCAGGAACTCCTAGGGCCACCCATGATTCTCAAAGGGCCAGTGGCCAGATTTACTTCTCTTTGTTTTGTTTGTCTGGTTGGTTTCCAGACAAGGGCTCACTATGTCGTGGAGGCTGGCTCGCAACTCACAGCAAAGTGCCCGTCTCAGCCTGGAAAGTGCTGGGATTACAGGTGCACCACCACACCCGGCTCCGTTCACATATTCTGAGGTCCTGGAACAATGTCCCCAAGATCTTGGTATGGCACACGGCCGCTGTGTCCCACTCTCCAGGCCAGGCATGGTGGTGCACGCCTGTAACCCCAGCGCTCAAGAGGCTGAGGCAGGAGGAGCGTTGCAAGCTCAAGACCAGCCTGGGCTACAAAGTGAGCTCAAGGCCAGCCTGAACTGCATAGTGAGACCCTCTCTCGAGAAAAAAAAAAAAAGACTCTCCAGCATCCATGTAACCCCTGGCCTCCTGTTAGGTCGTCTCTTGGCCCGAGGGGTGTGTTCCCACCCCGCACCCTCCAGCCGCAAGGCGCTAGGTGCCAGAGCTACCTTAGAGCTTAAGGTCTCCAAAGGGCCAGCTGCGTCTCTGACGGCCCAGCCCCCACCCATCGCGAGCATAGAGACCTGGCCCCCAGAGCCGGCTCTACCGTCTGTGCCCAGCAGGTCACTTTCCTTCGTGTCTGCCCATATGGGGGTCCCCAGACCACTCCTACGTTCTATTATCAGGCCTCCCCCAGATCCAGCCCACCTACAACCTCCCCAGGTAAGAGGCACAGGCAGCAGGGTAGGTGGATAGGTAGGGAGACAGAAAAATGCACAGCAAGGTAAACTGTGTGTGGTGCAGGCCTATAATCCCCCCACACACAGAGAGGCTGAGGCAGGAGGACTGACAATTATAGCCCCATCTGGGCAATTTAGCAACTTAGTGAGACCCTGTCTCAAAATAAAAAATAAAAAAGGCTGGGGATGTAGCTCAGTGGGAAGACCTAGGTTCAACCCCCAGTATCGCGGGGAAAAAAAAGACAGGTAGGTAGATGAGCAGGCGGGAGGGCAGTCATATAGGTGGTTGTTAGATAGTACAGAGAGATGGGCAGAAACAGTTAGTCCAGATTCAAATCAAACAAACGAGGGCCGGGAATATAGGTCAGCGGCACAAGCGCCTGCCTGGCAAGTGCAAGGTCCTGAGTTCCATTCCCCATAACAAACAAACGAACAAGGGGCTGGGGATTTAGCTCAGCGGCACAGCGCCTGCCTGGCAAGCGCAAGGCAGTGAGTTCGAGTCCCGGTACCGGAAACCCAAAACCCCCAAAAACCAAACAAACAAGTCAGGTGGGGCAGCGCAGGGCCCTGAACCCAGCACTTGGGAGGCTGAGGAAGCCCGACAGCAAGTTCTACACCAGCCTAGGTACACAGCGAGTCCTTGTTTCAAATCAATAGATATACAAATAAACCCCCTGTAAAAGGCCTCGAGGCTCCTCGTAAGTACCAGGAATCCCGGCCAGGTGCCCTGGGGCCTGCAGCGGATTCCCAGGGCTGTGAGGACGCCCTGGGCTTTCACTCGGTTCCCCAGACCCTCTCCTGCAGGACCCACAGGGTCTCCTGCAAAATGACCACTGCGGCCCCTCGCGTGATTGCAAGGCGGCTCAAGCAGAGCCTCGCACCAGGCGCAGCTGCCCTCTGATGGCCCCCAGCCACCGTGCAGCTGGCCGGAAGCTGGCGGTGCGGTTGCGGTCCCGGCGGTGTGCGCCCGGCAGCTCAGCACCTGGGCCCGACTCTGCCCCGGCACGCAGCGTCACCCAGTGGCCAGGGGAGGTCATCACATTTAAGCAGAAACCCAAGTCCAAACTCCGGGCCCACCTCGCTGAGCCTTGGTTTATTTTTGTTTTGTTTTGTTTTTCTTGGTTTGTTTTTGGTACTGGGGATCAAATCCCTGCGTCTCCACACTGTGCTATATCCCCAGTCTGGTATTAAGGTTTTTTGTTGTTTTTTTTTTTTTTTTTGAGAGGGTCTTGCTTTATAATTCAGGCTGAGCTTAAACTCCAACTTGTGGCCATCCTCCTGCCTCAGCCTCTGGAGTGCTAGGATCACAGGCATGCATTGCCACCTGGCCTCTGGCTTCATCTGAAAAATGGGGACAATAATTGTACCTATCTCAGAGAGGATTCAGGGAGCCAAGGCTCGGCCAGGGCACGAGGCACCTAGGAAGGGCGTCAGGAGTGGCACCTGCTTCCCTTAGGGCCCCTTCCCTGCCAGGCCAGGTGGCTATTAAGGACCCCACAGGGCCTTCTGGGTGGCTAACTCTCTGAGAGCAGCCCCGATGGGCCTTGGTGGCTCCTGCACCCACCCCCTGGGGCTGGCACAAGGACCAAAGGCAGTAATGAAGGACCCTGAGCTTGCTGAGAATGCCCCAAAACGTGTCTCTGGAATGTCCTGCTGACCTACTGTGGAAATAATCGGAAACAATTGGTGGGTGGAGGTTATAAAATGTAACAGAGAAGCCGGGCATGGTGGTGCACGCCTGTAATCCCAGCATTTAGGAGGCTGAGGCAGGAGGATCCTTGTGAGTTTGAGACCAGCTTGAGCTACAAAGTGAGCTCAAGGCCAGCCTGAAGTACATAGCAAGACCCTGTTCAAAAAGGCCAAAAACAAAACAAAACAAAAAAAAAACATGCAACAGAGGCCTGAGGATGTAGCTCTGTGATAGTCTATGTGATTTGCTGGGGCTCTTGATGAACCCTAGGTAAAACCTAGAAGGGATGAGGAAAAGATACACAAAAGACAAGGCAGAGGTAAGGTGGAGCTCCCCTCTCTCCTGGTGGGAGGAGAAAACTGCCCAAGACTGGTAGAGTGTTTATTTGTACCCTCCAGAGGTTGATGTTAATTTCAACCTCTCTACCCAGGAACCAGCTAATAAGCTGCAACAGCTTGTTTACATGGCTCGGGGAGCTCTCCTTGTTCTCCCGCCAGCCTTCTTCTGCACGTGTGATTGATTTGCAACTTCAGCTGCTCCCAACATCTCTTCTCTGGTTTTTTTGTTTTTTTTTTTTTTTTCTGTTTTGTAACTGATGGGTGTTTGGTCCAAGTTACAGAAGCTGTGTTTGGAGAACCTGGTAGAAAATCTTTTCATTCTTGATGAACTTACTCATGTAGGCTAAAGATTTTTAGTCCTGGGCCAGGGATATAGCTCAGTGGCATAAATGCCTGCCTGGAAAGCATAAGGTCCTGAATTTGATTCCCGGTACAAAAAGAAAGTTTTAGTCCAAGGACTCTAGGTAGCTGTATACAGCAAGTTATCCATGTACAGTCCAATACTCCATAATAGTGGTCAGTTATCGTATAGCAGGCAATTGTCAGCAGTTGTTGGTGATTTGAACCTTTTATTGAAGCTAAGCCGGGCGTGGTGGCACATGCCTGTAATCCCAGCACCTGAGGCAGGAGGATCGTTGTAGGGATCTGTTGGGTTCTTGCTGTACCCTGGGAAGGAACGGCGGCAAATGAGGAAAAAATAGACAAGAGACAAAAGCTGGCATCGGGTGGAGGCCCTCTCTCTCCGTGGAGAAGGGGCACTGCCCAAGACCAGCAGAGTGTTTATTTACACCCTCCAGAGGTTGGTTAATTTTGGCCTCACTGTCCAGCAATCAGCGAACAAGCTACAACAGCTTGTTTACGTGCTTTGAGGAACTTCCGCGTTCTCGGAGCTCCCGCGTTCTCGGGCTGCCTTCGTCCTGCACATGTAATTACCTTCCGGCTTCCGCGGCTCCTGACATCTCTCTCTTCTCTGCTTTGTAGATGATGGACTGTTAGCCAGAAAGATTATGCTTGGAGAATACAGTCCCAGCACCCCGAGCAGTAGGCAGTTGCCAGCCTAGTTGACAAAATGTCCGAAGTTCTCTGAGATGTACATCCTCGAATCACTTTCCTCTGTGGTCCCATAATCTCCTTGATATCAGAAAATCAGGGGCTCAACTGAGATCTAGGATGTCGTAGCAGAGGTTCTCTTCCGTCCTGGGTTTACTCTGACCCCAGAGGGCTAGGGCCAAAATATTGACTCTCCTCTTAGCCCATTCATCTTTCTAATTTTTTGGTCTCCAGATCTCAGTTATTAAACACCCAGAAGAGAAGCTTTAATAACATTACACTGTAGGGCTGGGGATTTAGCTCAGCGGCACAGCGCCTGCCTGGCAAGTGCAAGGTCTTGAGTTCGATTGCTGATGCCAGAAAAAAATAACAAAATCCAAAACCAAAAACATTACACTGTAATAGAGGCAGTAAGCTTAACATTACTATCTATCTAAATGTCAGACACTTTAGAAAATAAAATGAAACTATTATTTTCTTAACCATTGATATACTATCGTTTAAATCCCTGTAGAATGTTAACAAATAATAGTTACATATTTGTACACTGAAATTAGAAACCAAATCCATACATAACATTGCTACATGACAATCATGACATTTTGTAACATAAATTTTCATTTTGACATAAGCCTTTCAACCAATCACCTCTAATACATAAGCTTTTCTCTAATCTGTTATCATTTTATGAAATATACACAAGTTTTTCAAAGGCAAAGGTCTGAATTTGAACAAAAGTCTTATAAACAATCCTTGCTAGGGGCCAGGGATTTAGCTCAGTGCCACAGCGCCTGCCTGGCAATCGCAAGGTTGTGAGTTCAATTCCTGACACCAGGAAAAAAAAAAACAAAAAAAAAACAAAAACAAAAGTCATTCAACTTCAGTTTGGCTCGCTAAATTAATTACGTCTAAGATTCCAAAACATAAAATGTGCATAAGATGGACTCTAATTGCAGGATCAGGTTGATGCAAGAGGAAATCTCCCACTT